TTTTGATTACTTTTTATCATATATAATTATTGTTTAACTTTTAAATTATATTATGAACTATTTTTTGAATTTTTTTTTTGGTACATCAAAGTTATTAAAAGTTTAGTTTCTAAGGAATATAATCCCAATACAATCATTTTGTAAAATATATTATGAATTATTAAGTATCAAGTAGTTTGTATTTAAATTTTTAAGTATTTAATTTTAAACTTATTTCTTCAATGAACAAATTTAGAAATTTATTTTAAAATATTTTCATAATTTATATTTATTTTTGTTAATTATATAAAGACACAAATTTAATTTACAAAAATCTTATCATTTTATTTGTGATTTTATGATTTTTAATTTCATTTCTCCCTTCCACTCTTAGATAAAATCTTAATTTTTAGCATGTCAATTACCACATACTCTTATTTGGGGTAATTCAATCGTTAATCAAAAGAAACAAATAACGCAGTTTAACGACTCGAAATCACCTCCACGCCATAATTTGCTTGTAAGAACATGTAAGGACATTTAATAATTAAAATGCAAAGCAATGGATTCCTACTGCTAAAATGAAAAAAACCTTTATGTCTAAACTAAACAAATAGTTAAACAACACAATTTGGGAAAAAGCAGTCATTCACTTCAAACTAGCCAACTAAAGCAAAAATTTCGAAGTCCAAAACCCACATCATGAGACGGTAATGCTCAGATAGTGCCCAATAATCTTCCAGATTTAAAATTGAATCATAAACGATTATCAAAAAAATTTCGGACGGCCAAATCACATGATTAAACATCAATCCTTAAGTTTCTTATGCTTGTTCATTTATAATTGAAAGGAAAAGAAGCAAATTCAAAGACAAGATTCAGGGCAACAAGTCTTCACAAATTCAATTAAAAGAAATAATTTTAATGTCAAATAATTAATAGAAAAAAATGATTAATAATTTTAACTTTAAGAGCTAGATTTATACTTTATACATCTGGACTTTAATCTTTGAATCAATTCTAAACTCTTTATGGATTAGGATTTGCAACTTTCTACTGATTTTCTTGATTGCTTAACTTTAGTTCTAAAAAAAATTTTTCTCAAATAATTGTTATTTTGTTAAACATAAATTAACAAAATTTTTAAGAAAAATCAAAAGAGAAACTTGGAAACGAATAGAAGGAAACGGCTGCTTGCGAAGCCTGTGAGAGAGGGTTCGAATGAACCCATTTAATTTCGTAATTGGCTGGGGCGCAGAAGCAACGTTGTTGGCAACTTTTTTTTCTTTAGTACTTCTGGTTTCTCAAGCTTAACGTTTTGGTCTCATGACTCCTAAGTTCATTAATTTAGACCTGCAAGCAATTCCCAATTTCAAAGTTTTATAGCTCCTTGCAATCAAGTCCAATTTATTTCTTTTCATTTCTTTTTACCCAATTAATTTCCAATTTTGTCATTCAAACTTTAAAATTGAATTTATAAAAAACTAATTTTATAATACCTAATCAAAATCAAATTATAACACACTAAACTAACAGTATCTTATTAGAGTCATCAAGCCATTGGCTGGGCGCCTCTTTTGGGTTCGTAATAGAAAATACTAGGGGTGAGCATGGGTAGATATGGGTCAAGAATTTGCCTATATTTGTACTTGACTTGAATAGTGATAAGTATAGAATTTCAATATCCAGCGTTTACCTAGGTATTGAAAATTTATACACATTATCCAACTTGTTCGGTAAAAGTATATCCACAAGTATATTTGTATACTTACTAAATTTTACACTAAAAATACACAAGCTAATATATAACTATAAGTTCATACATATAATACAAGTTTATATATATAACAAAATACGTGAACATATATACTTACACAAACACAAGTTTATATATACAATAACAAAAAAAAATACAAATAAAAATTTATATAATTTTTTTTCAGTTGAATTTTCACTGGTAAAAGAAAAGAAAAAAAAACCATAAATATTTTAATTTCATAACATTATATTACAAATTAATTGTATAAAATTAGAATATATGTTAGGTATATTAGTCAAATATATAAGTCAAGTATATGGGTCAGATATATAGATTAGTTATGCAGATATTGAACTTCATACCCAATATTTATCTGACACCTAGTAAGTATGAATTTTTCATACCTGATATTTAACTATCTTTTCACATGTATAGATAAAATACCTACCTAAACAACTCAAGTACCCACAAATATTAGATATACCCATACCCAATACTCAACCTTAGAAAATACGCTAAGCTCCAGATCACAACTTACAATCATAATAGTTAATACATGAGCCCTAGGTGCCACTATTGGACTATATAGAGAAGCCACGACACTAGATTTAAGCAGTTCTATTTTATTTTAACACAAGATTGGGCCACTTTAAAAATGGGCTCTTGCACCCCTTTCCCTCCCCCGTTGTTTGTACTACCAAAACATCAAAGTGAAAAATCAAAACAAAATTTGATAAAGTCAACACTCATCTCTTGTATTTAAAAGTTATGATAAAATATTTTGATAATTTTAAAGATAACATGTCTTAATTTTTTATTTTCTCAAATCTATTATAGAAACAAAATCACACACAACATTTTTATTTGAGTGTATAAATATATTAGAAAAGTGAATTGCA